TGTTTTTCTTCCTCTGCTCTTTGCAGGCTGCGGGGAGTTTATTTGACACTCCAGCACTCTTTGTGAGCTGAGTGGCCCGGGATAAATGCTGCCCTTAAGAGTTACTTGGCGTTAGACAGAGGGACCCTCTTCAGAGGAGAATGGGGGCTTGTTGGGATGGGGTGGGAGGGGGCGCGGGGAGGGGGCCTCGAGGAGAGCCCTTATAGAAGGGTCTCTGTCCTGGCCTCACAATGGAGTGAATTCTTCAAGATACCGGGAGCTGAAAGGAAGGAAGGAACTTTCCTCCTTTGAAAAAGGATTTTCAGGAACAATTGAAGAAGCCATAAAAAGGGGAGCATTATTCCCCATCCAGGCCGCTGGGCTGGGAAGCTTCTCCCTCCCTCCCCCTCCGAGCCCTGGGCTGGGCACATCCCACAGACCCCACTGGGACCAGCGGAGGGGTGGGATGAGGGTCCTGGTCCTTGTCCTCCCTCCCACAGCCAGAGCCACCTTTCCCTGCCTCGGGCTCCTTCTGCCTGGGCAGGAAAAAGGGATTATCCCAGGAACTGCGGATTAAATCCCCCCAGACTGCGCCAGGGCTGCGGGAACTGCTGTCCCCAGCGCCCGTCCCTGCGGCCAGAGGATGGAATTTCCATGGAAAACAGCTGGAGAGGGCCCTGCCAGGTGTGCAGCTCCTCCTGTCCCGCTCCCGGGGAGTTCACTGCGCCCTCGGTCTCACCCAGCCCAGGAGGAGTTCAGCTCCAGCCCTGATCCCAGCCTGGGAAGAGTTCAGCTCCAGCCCTGATCCCAGCCTGGGAAGGGTTCAGCTCCAGCCCTGATCTCAGCCTGGGAAGGGTTCAGCTCCAGCCCAAATCCCAGCCTGGGAAGAGTTCAGCTCCAGCCCAAATCCCATCCTGGGAAGAGTTCAGCTCCAGCCCTGATCTCAGCCTGGGAAGGGTTCAGCTCCAGTCCCAATCCCAGCCTGGGAAGGGTTCAGCTCCAGTCCCAAATCCCAGCCTGGGAAGGGTTCAGCTCCAGTCCCAAATCCCAGCCTGGGAAGGGTTCAGCTCCAGCTCCAGCCCTGATCCCAGCCCCCCACAGGGATGGATTCAGCTCCCAGCCCCTCCCAGGGACCACCGGGGGATCCCCCCAGCCCCACAGGACCCCAAAGGGGTCCCTGCTGCTCCCCAGGACATCCCTCATTCCCTCTGCCCTTCCCATCGCTCAGGAAATGCTGGAACAAGTCTTGAAACTCTTTAGGGACTTATTTTAAAAAACAGCAAAAAAAGCTTTTAATTTTGTTGGGTTTTTTTTTAAGTCTCCAATAATTATCAGCTTTATCTTTTTATTTCAAAAGAAATTTATGGGGAAAAAAAAAACCCAAACAAAAATCTTTGAGTAATTATGTTTTGCTGTTGAAAGCCAAATGAATTTTCAATCCTCTTGGAAGTTGTATGTCACAGCTGTAAGGCTGACATGTCATAATTAACATTAAAATATAAATATTAAATATTAATAATAACTATTAAATTATTTATTATATTGTTATAATAGGGTTAAATACATTAAATTATTTATTATGTTATTAATAATTCATAATTTATACTTAGCTATTATTTAAATAATAGCTATATAATATATTTACTTACTCATATTTATATTATGGTATATCAATAATATTTATCAGTAATAATGTATTCTATACATTTATAATATATTAATTTATTATTTATAATATAAATATTATTTATATCTAGAATATCAATATTAGAATATTTCAAATATTTTATTTATAATAGTAATATTTATTACTGTTTCTAATATTACTTATAATTTTATTCCCGATATTAATATTATTTATAGTATTCATAATATTTATATTATATAACTTTAAATTACATAATTATATAAAAATATATATTATATACATTATAAGGTGTACATTATAAAAGTAATATAATATAAATATTATTTAAATTGCCTTTCTGCCACACGTTTTCATTACTTTTGAAGACCATGAAACAACACCTTTTTTATTTTATTCGGAATAAAGCTGGAACTCATCCCAACACCCCCAGCAGGGCAGGGAGCTGCTCCCAGGGGCTGGAATTGCAGCTGGAATTCCCGGAATTCCCAGATCCCTGCAGGGCACAGGACAGGGACAGTGAGGATGGACAGATGGACAGTGAGGATGGACAGGGGGACAGTGAGGATGGACAGGGACAGTGAGGATGGACAGAGGGACAGTGAGGATGGACAGGGGACAGTGAGGATGGACAGGAACAGTGAGGATGGACAAGGGCGGTGCCACAAGAGCTCCCTGAGTGCCGCCTCTCCTCTCCCAGCTGCACCTCCAGCCCATCCTCCCAAAATCGCGTCTTTGCTCTTCCAAACTTGGGAAGAACTTCCAGAAATGCTCCGGCTTTGGGCTGGGAGCGCAGTTTAAAGGAGCTGGAACCTGTTTTACCCTCCTGCCAATCCACATCCCACAGCAAAACACAAACAAACACCGAGAGCTTCAGCCAGCGCTGACCCCGCCGCAACATCCAGACCAGAAAAACCTCCCATTAGCGGATCTAAAGCTGGCGGTTTGGGTTTAGATCCCTGCGGGCTCCCCGGGCTGGGGACAAGGTGACACCGAGCCACAAACCTCAGCCAGGCTGCTCCCAGCAAAGCTCGAGCCTGACTTAGGCTCGGCTTTACCCCCTGCTCCTTCCAGAGAGCTCACGAGCTTTTCCTGCAGCTCTGATCCCCTGCCAGGGAGAAAAAGCAGGAATAAAACCCCAGGGGAACCGGCTTGAGCAGGCGACGTTTGCTCCTGATACAAAACCCATTCCGAGGTTATTTTATTTTATTTTATTTTATTTTATTTTATTTTATTTTATTTTATTTTATTTTATTTTATTTTATTTTATTTTATTTTATTTTATTTTATTTTATTTTATTTTACTTTATTTTATTTTATATTATATTTTATTTTATTTTATATTTTATTTTATT